TTGGGGGGCCCGAGTTCGCTAGGGCACCCGCGGGTGGACATCAAGCCCGCGCAATGGGAGGGGATGGGCAGAAGGGGTATGCTTTTAGATACATGGCGCTGCGCAGCTGTCGACACGTTTGTGGGTTCCTGGGGGGGAGGGCCAGCGGAGTGGTCCTCAGCGCGCCCGAGCGCGATTCCCCGCAGCGAGAGTTCACGGCTCCCTTGGGGGGGGGGTTGCTTGTGCCATGGTCGCCGAAGTCGTGGGTCTGTGGGAGCCCTCTCGGAGCAGGGCCTTCCGCGCGCCTAGCCAGATCTCGCGGCTCCTTGGGGATTTTCCTGTTCCTCCACCCCTTTCTCGTCCTCCTTATCCTCTTCGTCCATGTGCCACACTAAGCAATTGTCGCCTGCGCCGCGGGCTCCTGACAGGCCCATCGACGTGGAGTCGTACGCGCACTTGCGCCAGACTTCGCGAGTCATTGGGAGGCTGCCGTCAGCGTAACGTTCGCCATTGTCGCGGGCTCTTCGGGACCTCGCGGAGTGGAGTATTGCGCGCAAACACGCGCGATTTCGCGGTTCCCTCGGGGGTTGCCCGGCGCGCAATTGTCGCCACATGTACACTTGTCGCCATGTTCGTGGGCTCGTGGGGGGCCCAACGGGGTAGAGTATTTCGTGCGCCCAGTCGGAGCCTCGCTGCACCCTTGGGGGGCTTGCACCAACGCGAACTCTTCTGCTCTTTCGTGACGGGGTCCCTAAGACCCAGCGGAGTGGAATCTTACGCGCGCCCACGCAAGACCTCGCAGCTCGTTGTGGGGGCTGCCGCATGTGCTGGTTTCGCCATTGCCGCGGGCTCCTGGAAACCGCAGCAAAGTGGAGCATTTCACGCGCCAAAGCTAGACCTCGCGGCACTTAGGGGGTGTTTTGCATGTGCGCAAAGGTTTTCCACAGTCGTGGGTTTTTGGGACTCGTCGGAGTGAAATATTGTGCGCACCCATGCGCGACATCGCGGCTGCCCTGGGGGCTACCATTGGCACAGTTGTCGTCATTATCTTGGGCTCATGGGAGGCGCAGCGGAGTGAAACCTTACGCGCGCACAAACGAGACATCGCAGGTCGTTGTGGTGGTTGCCATCTGCGCCACCGCCTCCGCTTTCGCTGAGTCCTGGGAGATCCACCTCAGCGACGTCACGCCCAGACAAGATACAGCTGGTGGCTGCCAAGTGCTGATTCCTCGTTGTCGACTAGCGGTTATCGTTTTCGTAATGTTTTCTTGTCTCCATATAGTTTCTCGTGGAAGTTCGGTTCCTTGAGACTCAACGCGTGGCCACTTTATGTAGTTTTCACAACGGATCGCGTCTGTCGTTGCATCGTCATCCGTCTAGGATCGGTCCATTGCTGTTGGCAACTGGACCAGATGGGTTAGGTACATCGCGGGGTTACTTTATGCTGTTTTACGTTTCCTGGGCGCGTCTTGAACGGCGTTTGGCAGATGCTTGGGAGTTGTCGGTGGCCTCCTTCGGGCCTGTTGCGGGCTTTTGGGCATCTTATGTGGCCCAGCTGGCGGCCTCGGGGGAGGGGGGGGGGCAGTGTCCTTTTTGGAGCGATCTTGGCGCCCCTTGAGCCTTGAGCACCATTCCAGAACATCGGGTGTTTCACTGTTTGGCTTCCTGGACCAGCCTCCAGGCCCTCCAAGACATCCTCATATATATATATATATATATATACCCAAGAGCGCCCCACGGCGGCCCCTCTGGCCCAGAGGGATTTGGGATCCCGAGCTACGTTCCCACGGGCACCAGACATTTCACGCGACGAATCTGTTAAAGCGTCCAGGAACGCTGTGGAGTTTTGGTAATATGTTGCCTGGGGGCCTGGAATCTCGTGTTCCACACTCCCCATGTAGGGTCTCGAACTGAATTGAGGGCATCATGTAACGCACAATTCAAAACAGCAAGCAATGGCACATGCAATGCAAATCATATCATGGCCGCTACTGCGAGGCGGCGAACTCCGACGCCGCAGCATGCGTCATGCTTCAGCGTCGTTGTGTAGCTGAGCTGTGCTGGCCGCGTGACCATCACTGCTGGTAAACCCTGACTTGTACAACTGTTTTCACCCCTGCTACCATGTAGCATGCTCAAGCTTGTCTTCCCGCTTGACCTGGTGCTGCGTATCATGTATGGTCCACTGAATGGTTTTTTAATCTGTCAGTACCGACAGCTCCGTCGCCCGGCATTGCGCACCGGTCTACGACCCTCTTCCCATATGTTGCGTAGCAGTTGGCCATGGCGGCGCCCCCCATGCGTAGGCAGGCGAAACAATATCTGGGGACCCGATCTCAGCGCAGGAAAAACGCACATCCTCTTGTCCAGATGCCCGTCGTCGCGTTGACCACGGGTCCTTCTCCTGGTCTTCTCCCAATGTCTATCGTGGTCTTCCCTCCTTCTCCTCCTCCCCCTCCCCTCCGTCTCCCCATCCTGTCTCCGTTGCCCCTTCTCCCTCGTGTCCTCCATCCCTGCCTCGCGGAGGACGTCGGGAAGCTCTTCCGCATCTTCGACAAGGACAGGGACGGGCTGCTGAATCTCAAGGACACGCGGCGGGGGGGGGCGCACGGAGGGAGGGAGGCCTTTTGTTTGGCCTTGGTCGTGGCGATGGCGGAGCGGCCCCACGGGAGGAAGAGTAGCAGGATCGAGAGCATGGTTGTTTTTGCTTCCTTCTGGGTTCTGGGGCCACTGGTAGGTCCCAGGGGCCTGCAACTTTTTGTTTCTGGAGGCCGAGACCTTTTTGGGCCTGGCGAAGCTTGGAGGAGCAGGGTTGGGGGAGCAGGTTAGGTACGGGCAGCTCGAGGCAGGAAGATACCAAGTATCCTTGGTTGACGGAGTTCGCAGACCTCCGACAATCTGGTTTGTTCAAGCCTGGCGTTTTTCCTCGAAGTCGGCCTCTGGGGCTCGTTTTCTTGCCCAAGGACCAACAAAAACGGGAGGAGCCTGCCTCCTCCGCCTCCTCCTTCGAATCCTCCTTCTCGTCTTCCTCGCCAATCTCCCCATTCGTCCCCATCGACTTCCTCGTGGATCCACATGCCAATCATATCCCGCTGCTCCTCCACCCTTCTGTCGTATTCTCTGTGCGCTCCATGTCCGTCCTCTGCCCCTCTCCCTCCTCCCCGTCCTCCTCTTCCATGCCCTGGAAGAGTGAGTTCTGTGGACCTCTGGACAGGGGGGAGGGGTTCTAACCAGGCGGACGGACCCCCCCTCCCTGAATTGCAAGGGGGGGGGTCGAATCGGGGAGGGGGGGGGGGGGCTCCCGCTTCAAGGGAAGGGGCGGTGGTTCGAACGGGGGGCGGGGGGCGCTGCAACCGACGACGGCGAATGCCGGCGCGAGCGGCGTCGGGCAGCGACGTCGTCAGGCAGCGACGACGACGGCGACGTCGACGACGACCGGAACCCAGCCTTCTTAGGATGCTAGTAATGCTGGGTCGAGCCCTAATAAGATCCCTGGTCGGATTCCGTTAGAGCCCTAGTATAATACATTTAGAAACCTTAGTAGTATTCAGTTGGTGCTGGATCGAGCCTCAGTTGGATTCAATCAGAGCCTGATCTAGCTGTAGCAGGTTTCTATTTGAGTTGTATCGAGCCTCAGTCGGATTCAATGAGAGCTGGGTCCCAGCTTTAGAAGGATTATATCAGTGTTGGACCGAGCCCAGCTAGGATGCTATGCAAGTTGGTTCCAGATGTGGTAGGATTATGTTAGAGCCTAGTCGAGCTTTGGTAGGATTCATGTGAAGCTGGATTCAGCTACTGTAACGTTCGACTGAAGTTGGATCGAGCACGTGTCGGGCTCTATTAGGGGGGGACGGGGGGGGGCGGTTCGAACCGTTCTCCTTCTGCACGGGAGAGGGGCGGGAGCGGCGGTTCGAGTCCCCCTCCCCTTAAGTCGGGCATGTCCGTCTACAGGAGGAATATTCAAAAATAGTAATGATTTGTTTGAAAAGTCAGGGGGCGATTTTGGGCAGTCTTTCAGTATTTTTGAATGTGTTTGGGGTATGTATTTATTTGTCGTCCAAGATCCGCCTGCAGGAGGACATGCCCGACCCAGCCCTCCCCCCAGGGGGGGGGGCCGGTTACAGGGGCCGGTGTCCGAGGGGAGGGGGCGGCGGGGCCCCCCGTTCTCCGGGCGTTCTCCAGTTTTTCCTTGGTGCGGGGGGGTCGGATCCCACGTGATCGGAAGATCGGGAAACGAGGAGGAGGAGGAAGAGCAGGAGGAGCAGAAAGAGCAGGAGGGGTCGGATCCCACGTGACCAAACATAGGGTTAAGTCGGGCATGTGGCTCTACAGGGGGAAGATTCAGAAATAGCGAAAAAATAGTCAGGGGACAATTGCTTGGCTATTTTTTGTTTTTGGGGGACATGTTTGGGGTATTTGATTTTACGTCCAAAGTCCGCCTGTAAGGGGACATGCCCGACCTCAACATAGGGGAACGGAAGATGGCATAAACAGAACAACTCGGAGGTCCGAGCGGATTTCTTGGATCCGCGCTGGACCCCCCTCCCTGGCGCGCGGAGCGCGCCAGGGGCGGCGCCTGGGGGGGTCCAGCGCCGATCCCATAAATCCGCGCGGGCCTCCGAGTTTTTATGCTTATTTCAGCGTTCGCTTCCCTAGCACCTTTGCTCAAGGCAAGCGTCCACGAAGCGGGATCTCTCCATGTCCTTTGCCTCTCTATCCTTCTCGTCCTGATCGGCCGCATGTTCTCGCCTCTTCGCCGCTGCCCTCGTGCCATATTCTTGTCGTAGCTGTATCCTCGTCCAGTTCCACCTGCTTCTTCTGCTGCTCCTCCTCCTCCTCATCCTCCACTCCTTCTCCAATTAGATAACTTCTCCCTCTCGCACCCCGAGGCCAGCTTTTAAGGCGGGCCGGGCGTTTCGCCTGAGACATGCCCACCATTTCTGATTCTGGAGCTTAACAAGAGGCATCCGATTCACAGGTGGAGGGCGGGTCAGTTTCAAAATGTGGCTCTCGCCTTAGCGACGCGCACATTCGTTGTTAAAATGCGCAAGAGTTTCACAGATTGAGGGCGGGTCGTTCTCAAACTGTGGTTCTCGCCTCAGCGCCGCTCACATTGGTTTTTAAATTGTAACAAGAGCTTCAAGGATTGAGGGCGGTTCTCTTTCAAAATGTGGTTGTCGCCTTACCGCCGCACACCTTGGTTTTTAAACTTTGCAAGAGCTTCACGGATTGAGGGCGGGTCGTTTCCAAAATATTCGTTTAACAGAAAATCAAGAGTTTTATTGATTGATGGCGGGCCGTTTTTTAATGTGGCTCTCGCCTTAGCGCCGCGCACATGTGTTTTCAAAAATTGCAAGAATCTCACGGTTCCCATGATCAACGTACCAGAAATGGTGTTTTGGAACATTCAGGGCGATGCCAGTGCAACAGTTATGTTAATTCGCGGTGTTGAAGTCCCGAAAAAGGCATTATGGTACGACTCCGGATCGCCAAGACCCAGCAGTCAGGTTGATACGTGGCGTTGAAGCCCCGAGAACAATGTTTTGGCATGCTTCAGGATCTTCAAACGTCTTCCAACAAGGCAGTTCCCTCAATGGACCGTTGTAGGGGCCTATGAAGAGGGGGTTTGGAGGTAGAGGGTTAGTTCCCACGTCGTTGAATGACTCTTGGGTTTACACTGGGCTTCCTCCTCCTCCTCCCCCTCGCCTCCAGGCCACGCTTCACCTCCTCCTCCTCCTCCTCCTCCTCCTCCTCCTCCTCCTCCCAGTCCCCCTCCTCATCCTCCTCCTCCTTCTTCCCCTTCGCCTCCGCCCCCTTTCCTCGAGGAGGGAGGAGGGGGGCAGGAGTTCAGCTGGATGGTGGAGGGCATGCGGCTCGGGCTGACGAGGGAGCGCGTGTACGAGCTGTACGAGCCCGGCCCCCAGCGAAGCGGCCGACGGCGGCGGCCGTGGGATCGGAGCGCGCCCGGGGTGGGGCGAGGCGGAGGGCCCCGGGCGTCCTCGCCGCGTGAAGAGTGTGTCGGGAGCGGAAAAGAGGGGGGTGATGACTAGGGGGGGGTGGATTTCATGGCGCGGGCCATGATTTTTCCTCAGATTTCATGGCGCCTCTTCTTATTTCATTACGTCCCTGGTCCCCCCGCTGGGCCGCGCACATGCCGCCGGTCATGATTTGCCCCCCCCCTCTTGGACACCCCCCTCTTGGCCGCTCCCGAGTGTGTGTCGTCGGCCGCGAGAGCGCGGACGCGGACGCGTTCACATAATAGCCGACGGACCGCGCTGGACTGCACCCAGGCAGGATCGCGTGGCAGGAAGATCAGGACGGGAGGTGTCTGGCCATGTTCGGCCTCGGGGGGCCCTCGCCGGGCCTCGGGGCCGTCAAAAAACGACTAAGGCTGAAAAACGGGTCCCGGGGAAAGTGTCGGGACTTCCAGGGACCCCGCATTACAGGACGTCGCATGTCCGCATTAAAAAAATCAGGACGTCGCACGTCTGGGTGGAAGGATTGGCAACCTTCCCAAGGGTACCGTTGCATCCTTGACCCGTCGGCCCATCCTCAGCGACTCTCGCTGGCCAGCCTCGGCAGAACAACTTTGACGTGGCCCTCCAGGGCCCTCAGAAGGTGCGAGGGCTTCTGAGAAGTCCCGCCGCCTTCTGAGCAGGCCTTCTCCTTCTCACTTCCTCCCCCCTTCGGGATCCGATTCCTTCCGCGGCGTTGCCGTCCACCTTTGTTTCCCTCCTCCGCCTTCCCGTAGGCCTCCTGCTCCTCCTGCTCCTGCTGCCGTCGCTCCCCCCTCGTTCCTCGTCCTCGTCGTCCCGCTCATCTGCCACCTCCTCCGCGTCCCCTGCGCAAGGCTCCCCTGCTTCTGGATATCGCGTCACGAGAGATGGGACCATGTTGAGCATTCGTGGCATCCAGGACACCCCATCCAGCGGCTAGAGTTTGATGCATCGCAACGGGCAGTTTACCTCCCTTCTCCTCCTTCCGCACCTCAGTGAGCCCTGGAAACGGCGGTGCCGTTCTTCATCCTTTCCGAACAAGTGTCTCCTGAAAATGGAGACAGCAGAAAATAACGGCGACCGGAAACAGCAAACCATGGATTTCGGATTGGAATTTGAGACGAATTTAGAACAACAGCGACGGCGACGGAACCGGCATAATGATTGCGTCGGCACCGGCAGAAACAAGGGCAAAGCGGAACCGGTCAAAAAAGCGGCTTTGTCGTTTCCAGGGTGCCCTAACTAAGCTTCCTACTTCCCCCTCTTTCTTCCAATTCTTCGTCGACCTCTCCCCTGCGTACTTGTCAACCTCTTCCTCGTCGACCTCTTCCTCTTCCCCCTCCCTCTCCACTTCCTGGTCGACCTCTCCCACTTCCTCGTAGGGGATGGACCTCCGACGGACCGACCGCTTCACAGCGCGCTTTTTTTGTTCCCCCATGGGCCCCTCCCACTTCCCCTCCTCCTCCTCCTCCTCCTCCTCCTCCTCCTCCTCCTCCTCCTCCTCCTCCTGCTCCTCCTCCTCCTC